GTTGTATTACCCGAGAACAGGTTTTGTTCAGTTTATTCATCAAAGTAATCAACTCATACCCAGGTAGGATGGCATATGGCGCCGAGTTTAATAGCATTGACGAAATGGCTTTGATTTAGTACAGAAGACGTATTTTAATACAATGTTCTTTAAAGTGGGTTGCATGATAAAGACGTTTTCATTACCGTTGCAGGTCAATAATGACAATAATGTAACTCGGTTTAGTACATGCTTATGCACTGAAGTATGGACTACATTTTTTGTGTTAGTTCTTATGGCACTACCCGATCACCGGGGTCCCAGTTGCTGGAACAGGATTTAAACCCCGATGCTAATCGCTTTAAGGTTGGATATGTATGTACCAAGTCTCTACCTCTATGGGTCAACATCATGAACGGAAACTTCAGAAAGTTTTCTATCATTCTCAGTGCCATTCTAATATCTTCATCATTGCTCTTCATTATTTCAGTTTTGCTTTCTTTCTCTCTCTTCTCAATCTACTAAAAGTGGTTAATTCTCTTTTCATTTCTCTTTCACCAACCAGAAACGTGATAAAGCTATAGCGAATCCCATTGATCCTTTCTCTTCAGTCGTACACGCAGAGCCTCATTTACAGTTTTCATTAAGACCGTGGAAAGGATTCAATAAGTAAGTGAACTCTCGTATTATATCTTGTATATTATATTTTCATATTATTTTATGCCATTAGCACAGAATTTTCAAAAGACCTGTCGCTGCTGTGTGTATCATTTTAGACAAATTGCATTGGTGCTGAATTTGAGGTCTTTGCATTAGTTGTTGCTGTTTACATTCGTAATTACCATTGTCATTGTTGCATGCATATCTGCGTTCCGAACCTCTGATGTAAGTTAAGCATCAATTTCTAAGTCCCATTACCTCAATAACAGCTGCTAGTGTACTGAATGACAAAAGGGAACTATAGAAACCCTGGAAATTCGTAACATTAGTGACTACGCGTTATTTTTACTCACCAGTCTTCTGACGGTAGTGTGGACAATGCAAAAGGTGTGTCTCACCGAAACCTGTCAATGTCGCTACACTAAGAAAAAGGTCAAATATTGTCAAGTTATTTCAAAAGGCGTATTGATGGTATCTACTGAATTCCATTCCGACAAAAGCGACTATCTACTACAGTTTCGTTCTCCTAATCACATATTTCTTGACTAAAACTATCTTCAAACACAAGAAGAGATGTCTCACTTGACATCCATCAGAAGGAAACCAACGTTGAACCAGATAAATGATATAAGTAGGAGCCGTTGTTGGATAGGATGGGTTTAGAGTTGGCGCTGTTTTTAGAGTACCTTCTTGAACCCCGATCACTCGTTAGTACAGCTGTATGAGAACATAGAATGTGTGTCCAAGGAGGAGGTAGGTGAGTATTCCGGTGATGGGAGGAACCCTAATTTCGATGAAGTCCGGCGTAATATTCAGTCTGCTGTTCAAACAGTGATAAAGACAGTTGGTATTCTGTATCCAAAGGTTAGCAAGAGCTCGTCAATCAAACCAATAGGTGTCAACCTATGACCAGGCATTACTGCACAACGGTCCAAGTTGCCACACGTCATACCAGTAAAACAAGTAAAAAAATAGCAAGATGAAGAGCGAAAGAAAAATCGATCAAAGAAGTAGAAACCAGTAAAAGAGAGGAAGAAAAAATAAAATACTGAATTCAGTATAGTGGTTAAGATGAAAGTAAAGTGTGGATACATCTGCGCCAGTGACATTGTTTCTCAGCCATATCACCTTGAGTCTCCAACTACTGGTTCCTGTTGTCGTATGAACTCCAACCAGCTAGTGTACATTGCCCTACACGGGACATAACAACAGTCAAAGACTTCATGCAGTGGTGCCATGTTTTAGTCTGGCTGCCCGTGACGTTTTTCCAACCTACATATACTTTAGCTAACGTTGTGTGACGAGGCAGATAGTGACTAGGCGTGAGTAACACATGTCCCAGCCATCTCAGTCGATGAAGGTTCACAACAGCATCAACTGACTTTTCTCTCCTCCCCAGAACTCTACATCTGACTTCTGCTTTAAAGAGGTGGTGACACTATGACACACAACGTGTGTTACTAAGGCAATGTGGGTCAAACATCAGAAGCCTTCTCATGTCTTCTACCTCTAATGGCTATATTTCACAGTCATACAGTAGGACATAGCGGATTGCAGCATAGTACACTCGACCCTCAGTAGACAGTTGGATATCGCAGCCGCACCACAGATGGCGTAAGTTGGCGATGGCTCGATTGGCTCTCGCCAACTTATGCCATCTGGTTCGATTGCCAAGAGCCAGTGTCTGCGGTCTCATCCTACTTGATTGATACAAGGAGATCCACTCTGTCTCGATCTGACTGCGACGAGGAGCGGAGGCAGTCTCTGACGTAGACAGGATAAGTCCTTGTAGTGACTGTGAAGAGTAGAGATTGTTTAAGGGTTAGGAGAGGAGGAGGGCATTGAGCTTAGGTAGTATTTGGTGGTTTTTGAGCTTGCTAGAGAGACTGAAACGAGAAGAATGTTAGTGATCCTATTACCAAAGAGGGAGGATACCTGATAACCTCTGAGAACAAGGACTTGCAATTTTGAGGTACAACACTGAGTTGTAGACTCTAAATTACCTGGCTCAAAAGCGGTCGCAGGTGTTAAGATACATTCATTTCTTATCTCTCTATCCATGTCATATCACATTTTATGATTTGCTTTATTCCTTCTGCCTTTCCTGTTACAGCTTTTGGTTGTTCTGCTCTCGTTTTTCATCTTTGTTGTGTTGCATCTTGCAGTGCTTATATAAGCTGTTGTAATTTGAATTAATTCACACTGATTTTCGATCCGATTTTGATTTTTAACCACCAGGTTTAACGTATACATCAGTCCATTTATGGCTTTATAATTCTTCAGCATATGTGATTCGAATTTTCTCATGGAAATGTCTTATCTTCATCTTAACGGTGGTCTTCGAACTATCAGTGGAAAACCGGAAATTATCTCTTGATATGAGTAGTCTCAAGTTATGTGATTTTCATTGTTAGCTGTTTTCAGTTCTCAAGAAAGCATGTTTCAGAGTGCTTCGTGACTTGGACCACTGAATTTTTCTTTAGGAACTTGTCGAATACTTGTGGTGTGAGGGGTTAATTGTAGAATGCGTACTGCTTGGCACAGATGGTTACATAGAATAAGGGACCTTCATAGCCTTAGTACAGCTTAGAATGCATAGAGCGTGCTTCGCCTTTCAAAGTTCTTTCATGCGAGAAAAAATTTTCAGTATCTGATCGCACCGCTCTCATTCAGTGCCTTGATTTGGTCGGGTGTTTCTGCAAAAGCTAAAACACCGAAGCAAATAATCGACCTTTTTATGCTATATCGGTAGATATAAAACGTTTACCATGGTTGTTGGAAAACCCTGTTTCCAAGCCATTGGTACCTATAGGCTTCGGAGTCTAAAACGGACAAATAAAGTACTAAACTACTTTGGTCATCAGCAACTACTGGAACTCAGCTCTTGAGGCTGTTCCGCTGCATTGTGGATTAGATTTGAATTTGAAGGTGTACGAAATCATCTACAACAAACGATTGGTTCTTTCTGGTCTACCCGGTCTCATCTTAACTCGAACCAAGTTACTGAATGATGCGTTACACTGAAAACATTGGGGCGTTCATTTAACTCACCAAAATTGCTGTATCATAAACTGTACCTGTTTCTATGCTGCTTTGTCACTAGTTAGTTGTTTTATTTATCGGTGAACTTTAGCGTCTTACTGTATTCGTTTTTAACTTTTTCTTTATCTTTATTTTACTCACTTGCTGTCCACTGTTTTCAATTCTAGTTGGTTTGTACCGTTTTAAGTCGCCACACTGCTTTTTCTTCACAAATCTGTTCTTCATTGTGAATTCTGGCGCAACTGTTCAGGAATCACGCGTACTGATTATTCTTATTATCTTCAGCGTTTGCACTCCTATGCATACCAGATAACATGTATTTATTTGTGATCCTGGAAAATTCTAATGAATTACAGCTTGGATGTCACAAACGATGAATTCTGTCATCAACCAAGTATTCTTCTTAAGCAAGTTCACTTTATAAAAATGACGGAATTAGCCGGGTCTTAAAAACATAAGTTGAATGTCTAAGCCCAAAGAGATCACAAGTCAGACTATAGAGGTTATCTTGTACCATTTTGGTACACATCACAATCGATTGATAGTAAATAACCATTACCAATGTGCTTTCTATGGTACTGTCGTTTTATGCAAATCTGTTCTCAAATAGACCATACGGCAATCAGATACAGTTGTCGTTGGTGTATACAGTAATATCATCGCTTTAGAGTGTCGGTTTGCATTCTTCAAAATTCAGTGTATACCAAGTTCAGTTGGTTTTTGACGATCACTGAAATCGTCCTTTTAAAAAAAATGTACAACTCTGTATCAAATCAGAAGAGATTCAAGACTAGGTGTTGACCTTGCCAAAGTGTAGGTGCATGTTGGTTGCACCTACGATGTGCTTTTAAGATGGGGAATGCGATCACTTTTCACTACGGAGAATACTCAGCTAATAAAGACTTTCTGATATCGCTTGATAACACCTATCCTAGTTGATACAAAATACAACGAATTATATATGGATCTTACTTGAAAAATTACAGGCTGGTATTTGAAAATTAACGAGGTTTGTTACTCATAACCCACCTTAAAAGACTACAACAAGAGGTTTTCCCCACTGAAGTGGACGACATGTCAGTAAATAACTTTCAGAGATATCTGGGACTCAGCAGCTCACTTCTAAAAACAGTTACACTGTAGTGATCGGGGCTCCTTCGGGCTATGCTCGATTATCGTTCACATCTATTCTCCTGAATATGCAAACGTTTACTCAAGCGTCACAGGGTATTCGACCCAAACTGTTTTCTCATGGTGACCTTTTAAAGATAGAAGTGAAAATGAAGTCGTAATATTGGTTAGGAAGTCCAGTAAGGTATGAAAAACTGAGCATTTCAGCCATTTTGATCAATGACTACCACTTCATTCATCTTTAAAAAGAGCTCACAAAATGCATTTAAGTCATTTAGATAGAGGTCTGTTACAAGTTGCGTCAAAATATTGATAGATGTCATACCAGAAGATTGAATAGTGAACAGGAAAAGACTTCTGCTGGAGGAGCTGACCTCTTTCATCGTTGATCATGGATGGTTTGACCGTGTTAAGTATTTACAAGCTTTCTGAAAACTGCCACATTGTAATCCAATAATCCTTATATTCTTTAATATTAGTTCTGATTTCACACAACAAGGATTGTGCTTTTAATTTCTTCACTGAAGAGCGTTTACCTTTAAGAGTTACGTAACATTCTGAAAACACCATGAGCAAACACCTGGGTTAGAAGTAGGGTATACAATGACTCCATTTTATTGATTTAAACTGGTATCAGGGGTTAAGTTGTGCTGCTTTATTTCGCCATTATCTTTCAGCTATGTGATAGGTGTCACTTTCAAGACAACTCTCAAGGAGGAGCTTGATGCCTGATTTAGATCCGATATGAAGAAAAACTTGTCAAACCTGATTTTACCAACGATCTTATCCTCTCATAAGACAGACAAATCAACTTAGAACGTTGCACAGAAGTGTAATCAAACAGGTATACCAGTTAGTTGAGCTCTAAACCGACATAATCTAATTTGAATGAACTGTGATAACTGTGTGCAGTCATCGACTTCATAAACATACTAAAGTTAAGTAGGGACGGTGATGCTAGACACCCCCTTTCAGACGCTGGTTATCCTCAGTTCACATGACAACTCTCCATACATCGCCCTTACACGACTGCTTGAGTTCGAGTAGAGAGTTTTGATTAGAGTTATGCACTTGCACAACACCTCTTTCACAGTCAGACACTACCACAACACCTCACGGTCAACGTATTCGAATGCCGCGTTCAGTTCAAAAAATATGGCAAGTATCGGCCACCGGTAGGTGTGCCTGTGTTCCAGGACCTGTCGGAAAGTGAGAATATAACCGATGCACTCTTGTCCAGGTCTGTCTGGAACGTTTCTGTTTTTTTTCTTGAGTTTGGTGTTCTCGAGCTTCATTTAGGCGTCGGACAACTATAGAGCCTAGGATCTTGGATACAATATTAGTCAAACTAATTTCCCTACGTTTGTCACAAGACCTCTCTTTATAGACTAGGGTGATCAATGAAGTAGGCCATTCTGACGGGACTGCCTTTTATTTCTCTACACTACTACTTAAAAACTTCAGGTGGTGAACTTTCAGTTCCTGCTGCTTTGAATCATTTCAGGTCTGATACGGCTTTCTCATCTTTAATGACAGTTGGAGGACCAACATCTACATCCCATTCATGTTCAGTGTGGATGTTGGGCAACTGAAGCGCTTCTGTTGGCCAGTTAAAATTGCTTCAAAGTGTTCTGCTCAATGTTCTAGCCGCTTGTCCTGGAAGGTTATCAGTGTAACATCCTTTCGGGGATGGTTCCCCTAACCATCCTCTTCTTCTTTCCGGTACCCTTATAAGTCTAAATAGTTGTCGTTACATTTTCATGGAAAGTTATGAGTTACGGGAACCTGAATAGCTTTCCTTGATAACAAATCGATATTACTACAAGACACAGGTGTGTAGAAACCATGTGATACAGAATTTTCTACTCAGTTATTGTTGACGATAATAATTCGTTGAATACTTCTGACACAGAGTATAACCTTGTGCAGATGTCTGTGCTTGACCACCACTCATGTGTAGTTTTTGTTGAGCTTCTCAACTAATCAGAAACTCAAGCAGAGTGCATCTGAACATCTGTCTCGAGAAGGCTGGTAGTGAAGTGCTTTTACAACGGAAGGAATAAATTAATTATCCCGGTGGTCACAATTCTTTGATCGGAATTTTGATAAGATAGCACCTATATAGTCTATTATCATTTTTGATGCCGTTTAGAGTTTTATTATCAACCAGTTTGATCATTATATCTTGGTTTTCACTAGTTCTTCTATTGACATCACTTTGTGCTACGGTTTTTCGTCAAATAAATAACTGTTTGTTTCTTTTGTTTGAGTCTTACGATAACTGACAATATTTTTATTACTAATTCACTTTTCAGGATATTTTGCTCTTTCTGCTCTCACCTTAGTACTGTTTGTTCATCTCACTTTCTCAAGTTTGATTGTCAGTTTATTCTTGTCTTTGGACAAGCGTCTCATACTATTTATTATTTAAAAAGTTGATTGAATATTACTTCAACTTTTTTACGTCTGTTTCTTGGTGCTTTAGACCTCAGTATCCCGAATTGAATGCCGATCAGTTCGTTTCTGAAGTTTTTGATCCTTTCTATATCAGCGTGGAAGAAGCAGAGGAAAAGTTTGCTGAGATGCGAAAGTCCATTGAAACCAGCAAACCACAAGGTATTTAGTTTTTTAGTGCTTTGAAAACACTATTTTTTCAATTGATGAATGCCAGGTACTATCAGGAGGTTAATTGTTTTGACTGATCTGCTTTCAGTTGTAAAGTAGTGTTCAAAACTTACTTCATCACGTATTTCTACTTGGACGTTGCAACTGTGGGGATTATTTGTTTCCGAAACCGTGTTTAATTAGCATGAAGAGAGTTGAAAAGGAAAATAACTAGTACGTTTATGGTTTTCTACGTATTTTCATCTAGCCCCAATAAGTTGTGTCACAGATACGCCTTGCTGATGAGTCTCAACAAGCACGAAACCTATTTGCGGGGCTTTTTGTCGATTGTGGAGCTGTGGGTCAATAGTTTGGGGAGATAACTGCCAATAATTGGGACATGAGTTTCGAGCCCTGCCTCACCTACCGAGGTTTGGGCAACCAGGTATTATCGCTAGCCCTCACACCATAGGTGTGGCTCATTGCCTTCTGCACAAGGTGACTGAGTGCGTTTCGTTCGTTCGTTCTTACCAATTGCATTCTACCAGTTAGCATCTGTCGAAGTGCACCGTGATGGTGTATGTCCTAGCTTGATGGTTACATTGCGAAACGGTCGACAGAATTCAGGACTAGATAATGTGAAATTGGTTACTCTCTGTTGACCAATCAGCGTATCCTATCCAGCCCTACAGAAGGTCAGTCACGGCTCGAATAGCTCACTGTTAACTTCACTCATTGCAGATTTGGGTGACTCAGATTCAAATACCAGACAGGACATTGATTCCGTCGAGGTTGCAGATATACCTTGTTGGTGAGTGCCAAAAAACCTGGCTTCCTACTAATTGCTTCCAACCAACTAACACTTGATATAAACTGGAATTCGAGATGTGTACAGAGTGGAATTTCCAGAAGCTATTGGCGAATGACTGAAAGGGACTTGTTAAATTGGTACATTTTTGGCAGGGGACTAAGAAATTTAAACTGTCATCAGTATGTTTTCTGTAATTAGGCGACGTGGTAATCTTCCTTTGACGAGTTGCCTAACTACCTTCGTCACAGTGTTACAACAGAAGGCGTTATGCAGATTTTTTAACCCCGGATATGAAGCTATATATGTCATGTTGCGTTAACTGCGTCAAAGAATGCAGGCTTCTCTATAAACTGTTTTGATCAAATAGGTATTCTCTTGAAATTAGACCTTTTTAACATTTTGAACCCAATTATTAAGTTTCTTTGTAATACTCATCGATTCCATCTCCCTGAATATATTAACACAAGGCCTTAAATAGTTAATATCGTATTCAGATTTCTTAAAATTCTCTAGTAGTTTGTCGTAATGCCTTCCTTTTAGGTCTGGTTAGTACTTAATCTTGTCTTCCTTTTAAGATCATATCAAGTGATTGACAAAATTAACGTAGAACCTCGCACATAGGTGCATCGGCTCAAGTTGCCACACCTAACGGTAGTATACAAACAACACGTGGATAGAAAAGGAGTGATATCAAGGAAGATGAAGTAGTGTGATGGAATAAGCAGTCTGAAGCTAAAGGTTAGTGTGAATTTTCAAGCTTTAGAAGATGCTAAGGAGTAAATTCATCTGCGTCCGTTTGACCGATTTTCAGACATGTCACCAAGAGTCCTCAATCACTGATTCCTTTCGTTTTACTGACCATAATCAGGCAGTCTACATCTCCCCACACAGCTCACACCAACAGCAAGAGACTTCATTGATTGGTGCCTCGCCTTGATCTGGCCACCTTGAACCCTCTTCCAACCTAATCCAACTTCCTCTAGCTTGGCACGTCGAGGTAGGGAGTGGATCTGGATGCGCACTACATGTCCAAGCCATCTCAGTCAACAAAGGTTCATAACCTCATCAATCGACTTGCTTTTCTTACGTAATGCCATTCGCCTGACCTCAACATTGGTCACTCTGTTATTCCACCAAACGCGAACAGTGATACGAAAACATCTGTAATCAAAACCCAGTAATCACTTCATATCTCAGCCGTACAACAGGACAGAACGGACTGCAGTGCAGTATACTTGTTCTTTGATAGATAGTCGGATATCGAGTGAACACTGAAAGTTTTTATCTGGTCATAAATGTACTGGGTCTCGATATTTTTAATCAGTGAATTCACTGTTAACCTGTCTTCTTCACAATGGTTCAATGTAAGTGATGTAAATAATCCGACAATGGATGTTTTAAAGTTTCTGCGTATCTACTTTCTCAGTGAAATAGACACTTTTCAGTCAAAAATAATGTTAGTTCTGAGACAAGTGTTGATGCCTCTATAATTGTAATTCAAATCATGATACTATCGTCTTTATCAACATGATCTTCATTTTTACATTTAGCTCACAGACTTGCATCTGAAATGTACCCTGAAATTACGTTTCTTGGCACAGCATCCTCCACTCCAAATAAATATCGAAACATCAGTTGTATCCTCATCCAGTTAGAGTAAGTCCTAATCAATTTTGCATGAAAAAAAATACCTATTTCGTCAAGTTACCATTATTTTTATTGAGCGTAAATTGAGGAATAAAAACATCAAAATACCAAGATTTTATTTTTCTTCACTATTGATATCTACGATCAGTTGCTATGATTAAGTTGACTCAGCTTTTCAAGCATTTCATTCACCTAAGTCTATTGTAGTGAACGGGTATGGAGGTTGAAGTTGACGGAAAACTTGAGTGGTACACAGTTTATTCACTGAGATTTGATGTCCAAGTGTCAATCAGGCATCAGTTTCTTATCAACTTTGTGTATTATCTTTGGAAACAGAAATCAACCACAGTCGATCAAGACTATCTCACATAGTGGGGTTAATGCAATATATGCATTTAGTTGATGGTCAGTTGATACTTGACAGCTTACAGAATGGTGTGTCTGAAGCATTGTTTGAATGTGCGAATAACAAGTATTGTCGCCGATGATTTCTACACAAACATTTTTATAATGCATCCGATTACTTATTCCATCACAGCATCGATAATGTATTGTAAGACCATGATATGCGTGACGTTTAGTGTGGATGTATGTTTTTAATCCTAGGCGGTGACTTATTGATGTTATTTCATTGGGAAAAGCATTGACGATTATTTTTTAAAAGAAAATCGAATTTCTTTGCATGTTCATATTGTTTTGATAATTGACTTTCATATTTGATATCCTACTGGAATCGTTAATTACTTTTTAAGAATACAAAAGATATTAGCTGGATTTTTCTCCTGTTGATTTCCACACCTGGTTTTATAACCTCTAACCATAGTCAGTGGGTCTCTGTGTTTTTGTATGGAAGATAATGCCGTATTGGGCTGAATAACAGTAAATTTGGATCACCATATGCTTTCAATTTCTGATTTTCATAAGTCGTTATTTAATTATATGGTATTCATTTATAGCTACGACTTAAAAACTTATGAACATTCCTTTTAGAATTGATCTGTGGTTTCCTGGTCGTAGGCTTGGGCACTCAGTCTGCTCTCTGTAGTTATCAAGACTTTTCCAGAAAGATTAGTTATTTCACGAAGATTTTGTAGATTATTACAACGTAGGTCCCATATTAGTTTGTACTTCGACCCCTATACTTACTGCTTTCATGCTAATGCTTTGAACATATTTAAACATTAAGCGTTACATTGTATTCTATCTTTTATTTGATATTTCAGTCCAGACAGTTACGTGATGTTGGATTGCGGGGAAGGTTCCTTAAACCAGTTGCATACATTGTACGGTGTGGAAAAAGGAAATGAAATATTGCGCAAAATTCGGTTCATACTCATCACTCATATGCATGGTGATCATCATGGTGTGAGTTTCTATACTTCGTGTTTCGTTCGTTTATAGTAGTTCTACAGTTACCACGATTGTAAAATTATCATGTTTACTTTACAATCGCTGGTTAATTTCTCCTGCGAAATCGCTATGATACAGTGATATCTCATGTTATCTGTGTTGAGATCTAATGTTGTAGTGTAGTCCCATCAGTCATCAGGAAACCAATGAATCATTTATTGTGGCTACATATATTGTCTATCGGACTGTCAACTTTGCAAGTTGAATGATAGGTAGCATTTAAATATATGAGCTTTTAAATGCATTGACGTGTTGATTACATTTACTAGCTATAGAGTTTCACTCCTGTTGTAAAGATAGACGACATTAGCTGACTTGTGAAGAAAACAAGGAGGTGGTATATATGATCTTCTGGTTAGTAGTTCGATATTCGAACTTAAGAACAGTCATTCTAATCACTGGTTATGTATTGAATGGTTTAGCCGATAAGTAACTTTGCGAACATCTTGTTCGTTTACCAGAGTATTAAGTACACCTGTTATAATGTTGTTGTTGCTATCCTATTATACAAACTTCTATAGTTATAAGAAGGATGACGGCTCTTATGTGTGATTCTAGCTAAAAGTTGCATGCCTGAATAAGTCGTTCAGTCAGAATCAGCTACGACCTGACATCACTGTCGAACGACCCAAGTCGGGCAGACAAACAGACAGAGACAGACAGAATCAACGTAGGACCTGGCATATCAGTGCCACACTTCACAGTAATGTACAAAGAAAAAGTGGACAGAAAAAGAGTAATATCAAAGTAGACAAAGTTGTGTGAGAGAATAAACAATCTAAAGATAACGGACAATGCAAATGTTCAAGCTTTAGAAAACGTCAAAGATTGAGTTCATCTTCTCCCTTGTGACCGATTTTCGGACATGTCACCAAGAGTCGTCAACGGCTGATTCTTATCGTCTCGGGAACCTCATCCATGTAGTTTGCATTTCCCGATACAGCTCAGACCAACAGTCAGGAACCTGTCGGAAGGTAAAAATATGATTGATACACTCTCTTCTAGGTCTGAAACTTGCCTGGTTTTCTCGAGTTTGTTTTCCAATTGCCCCGGTTAGACGTGGGATAATTATGCGTCCTAGAATCGTGGATACAATATTGGTCAACCTAATTCTCTTCTGGTTGTCACGAAAGAAGTACTCCTTTTTACAGACGGGAGTATGGAGTGAAGTAGACCGATCTGATGGAACTATCTCTGGTTCACGTTCACTTCCTAGTACTTCTGTTGCTCTAATCAGCAAGTACCTGTCTCTATCCTCGAAAACTCCATGTAGCAAACTGTTAGGTCCTCCTGCTTTGGATCGTTTCAGTTTCGATACAGCCTTCTCAACTTCAAGAAGAGTTGGAGGATCGACATCTAGGGTAAGTGAAGCTCTGCTGAGGGCCAGCTGAACTTGCTTCAAAATGTTCTGTCAAATGTCTTAGCCGTCTTTTGTAGAGGTTATCAGTGTACCATCCTTTTCGTTGATGATTTCCCTAACAATCATCTTTCCGGTATCCTGAATAAGCTTAGATAGTTGCTGAGTGTTGCGTAACGGCAATGTCTTCACCATCTCTCCCGGTCTCACTACCCACGATCATTGCGAAGACTGTTGGTCAACTTACGTTTAAGTTGCTTTCGTTCTTGTATCCTTCTATCTGTACTTCATTCATTCTGTGAACGCGAATCATGATAATGGGAAACGTGATTGGAACCATACTTTGAAACGCCACTTTCGAGATATCAAACTTAGCAGCTCTATATATCTGTAGTTCGTCCTCAAAACGTCATCCCAAGTTAGTACAATTGATCAGTAAATAGGTGACTAGAGGTAACTGCCTCTGTTTTTGTCAGTCATTACTTGCAAATTTCATCTAGATTTTTTCCTTTTTCACCGTTTGTTACTAAATTTTTCATTTTTATCGGTGATTATATATGATGTTTTGAAATACTTAAGTGAATTTTGTTTAGTCAACTGAAAACTTAATGGAGTTGTAATTCAGTTCAGTTGTTGATTTTCTCTTATGCAATTGTTTAAATAACCCGGGGGCATGATCATATTAAATGAACAGAAAACAAAACTGACTGCATAAGTTTCACTGTTTATCTCTAAATTAGTAAACTGTGTCGTTATTCATTTCCCTTATTCACATCTATACAAAGTAAGTGCTGATAAAATCCCTAACCTGGTGACGAGATGTTCAAGAAAAAACCTCAAACCTCGGAGAACCTCAAGCAGTTATCATCTTTATTCTGAGCTACAATCTATATTATGTGTGTTTTATTTTACCATGTAAAGCAACCCTAAAATCGAAATCTTTAGAATACACTTACATATTATTATTATCATTATTTTTCCCTTGGGTTCCTAGTGGAACATAGAGCTTCAGTAGCACGCCTCCATTGCACTCTGTTCGCTGCAGTCTTTTGAACATCGCTGCACGACTGCCTACAGGCTTTCATTTCTTGCTCACACGATCTCCTCCATGTCACCCTCGCCTCAGATGCCCAACTCGTCGTTTCCCCTTTGGATTCCACTCGACAACCTGGCCTGGCGCGTGATGTCCCCAATCGGCCTTCTCAATGTATGCCGAATCCATCTCCACTTCCTTCTTCATATTTGTTGGATGATAGGTTCTTGGTTGGTTCGTTGCCAGCCAGAGTTCCTTCTTGCTTACTCTTTCTGGTCATCTGATTTTCAGTATCGAGCACAGGCAGCTGTTGATGAATGTCTGTAGTTTGTCGGAAGTGCTTTCGTGATGTGCCAAGTTTCTGAACCATATAGCAGCACTGACTTGACATTGATGTTGAAATCTGGATCTTGTTCTTCATGCTGAGTGTAGTGCGGTGGATCTCCACACTGATTTCAGGTTAATGCAGGAAGGCTTATCTTGCTGTCTTTCCGATCCTGACTGGCGTTGACATCCTCATCTTTGCCGCCTCCACCCGTAGTTGAAACGCTGCTGCCTAGGCAGGTAGATGAAAGAGACTACTTCATTTTGGTTTCTCCCGTTAATGGAGATTGATGCTTGTTGTTGGTTGGGTATCTTCATCAGCTCTGTCTTCTCTAAATTCACTTGAAGTCCTGTCTTCCTTCGCTGCCTCTTCTGTCAACTTGTTAGTTTCCGGCTGTAGATCTTCGAGTTTGTGCGACAAGACATTAGATATAAATCATCATCGGCGGCGAAATCCAAATCTTCGTCTGGGGTCTTTACATCAGTCCAGCCAGCGTATGCCCCTCTTCTTGCTCCTCACGGTTTCTTGTACGATCCAGTCCAGTCGACCACAATCAGGAAAATCACAGGCGATAGTAGACGGCAGCCTTGTCTTATTCCTCCCTGTCTTCACTTCGAAGGCGTCACTGAGCTTTCCATTGTGGATCACTTGGCATATGGTGTTTTTATATAGCTGTTGGATGAGGTTGATAAAGATTTGTGGGTACTCTGTAGTGTTGCAGCAGTTGCCAAATTACTTGTTGGTCGACGCTGTCGAAGGCCTTTTCAAAGTCGATGAAGTTGAGTTGACTGCCATTCTATGCTCTGTTCCATGCGTAGCGTAGCGCAGCGTAGCAGTTTGATCCACACACGATTTGTTCTTCCTGAATCCTGTCTGTTCCGGTCGTAATTTTGACCTATCATGTTTTAGCCTTGAATAATTTTGTAAGAGATATGGTCACCTGATTTGTTAATGTTAGAGGTTGCCTTTATGAGGAAAGTGAGGCTGCTTCTAGAACTATCTAAGACGTTAGTTTAGAAAAAATGAAACAGCCTAGTTCAAAAGGATACATTTCTTATCCTAATCATCATTTGTTCTTCCTGAATCCTGTCTGTTCCGGTCGTAGTTTTGAATCCAGTGCATCTTTTAGTCTCCAGGATGATGCGGCATAATATTTTGCTTTCGGTGGACAGCAGCATGATTCCTCGCCAGTTCTTGCAAAGGCTTATGTCTCCCTTATTCGGGAGTTTGACAAGGTAGCCCTTCTTCTAATCAACCGGCAGCTACCTATCCTTCCCTCCTTCCTTTCAAACCTTCAGTAGTGGTGCGGGCATCTCTGCTAACTTATATATCATACCTCATATCAAGTATTAGTATGTTTCGGACAAATAAGTATATTTTGAAAACCGTTTGGCGCTGAATTCTTCAGTTAATCTTTTTTATTTGCATGCTGTAATCTCCGCACAATTTGACTGTTTTCGAAATTAGATTGGTTAATAAATGATTATTCACACGAATTAGTATCATTTGAAAAATCATTGGTCACTTGGCCTAATGGTAACCTGATTACTACTACACCTGGACATCTTCTAACTTTCTGAGCACCGCTGATTTACCAGAGATCAGAGTAACAAATTATTATTATTATTATTAGTCCCTTGGGTTCCTAGGGAGCCCTATGGCTTCAGTAGCACGTCTCCAGTGAACTCTATTCTCTGAAGTTTTTTGAACCTGGCTCCACGACAGCCCAGAACCTCTCATTACCTCCTCGCACGATCTCCTCCATGTCACCCACGGACGTCCAACTCGTCGCTTCCCATGGGGGTTCCACTCGACGGCCTGGCCTGACGCGTGATGTCCCCAGTCCGCCTTCTCAGTGTATGCCCAATCCATCTCCACTTTCTTCCACTGCATATTTGTTGAGCGATAGGTTATTGGTTGGTTCGTCACCAGCCAGAGCTCCTTGTTGCTTATTCTTAGTATTCTGGCCATTTCATCTTCGGTGGCGGGCCGGCGTAAGCAGTTGTTGATAAATGTCTGTAGTTTATTGGAAATCCCTTTCGTAACGCGCCAAGTCTCTCAACCATCACACAGAAGCACTGACTTGACTGAGTTGGTGTTGAAAATCCGCATCTTGTTCCACATGCTGAGTGCAGTGCAGAAGATCTCTACACTGGTTTCAGGCTAATGAACGCCTGTCTTGCTGTCTTTCCGATTCTGACTTTGACATCCTCGTCTGTGCCTGTGCCGCCTATAGCTGAAACAGTGCTTCCTAGATAGGTGACGGAGGTTACTTCCTTAAAGTTTCTCCCGTTGATGGTGATTGGAGTTTGTTGTTGTTGGAGTTGTTGGTGCAGTATCTTCATCACTTCTGTCTTCTCTATAATCACCTGAAGTCCCGTCTTCTCTGCCCTACCTCTTCTGCCAACTTGTTAGTTTTCGCCTGTAGATCTTCTAGTTTGTGCGACATCAGACACAAGTCATCGGAGAAATACAAGTCTTCTAGGTTCTTTTCCGCGGTCCAGCGTATCCCCCTCTTCTCGCTCCTCAATGTTTGTTGCATGATCCAGTCCAGTCGACCACAATCAGGAATATCTTGAGGGATAGTAGGCAACCTTGTTTCACTCCTGTCTTCACTTCAGTGGCATCACTGAGCTTCCCATTGTGAATTACTTGGCATGCGGCGTCTTCATATAGTTGTTGAATGAGATTGATAAAGGTTTGTGGTATTCCGTAGTATTGAAGCAGTTTCCAAATTACCTCTCGGTCGACGCTGTCAAAGGCCTTCTCAAAGTCGATAAAGTTGAGGTGTGGTCTCTCCAGGATGATGCGGCTTAATATTTTGCTTGCATTCGGTGGACAGGAGAGTGATTCCGCGCCAGTTCTTGCAAACACTGAGGTCTCCCATCTTCGGCAGTTTGACAAGGTAACCCTTCTTCCAATCAATTGACAGGTACCTTCTCTTCCCTCCACACCTTCTGCAATAGTGGTGTGAGCATGTCCGCTGTTGTCTCTGCGTCTGTTCTCAGTGCTTCTGGCGGGATCCCATCTGGTCCTGTTGCCTTCCCGCATTTCAGTAGCTTTATGGCGTTCAGGACTTCCATTTTTGTTGGAGGATTTATATTCACTTGTAGTTCTGTGGCTGGACTGCAGGTGTTATTTGTGGACGAAGTGCAGGTGGTGGTGGATTCAAGAGCTTCTTGAAGTGGTTGGCCCATCGTTTTCTTTGTTCCTCTTCTCTGGTAATTAGATTTCCTTCATCATCTTTTATTGGTTTCATCTGTGTTGATCTCTTCCCAGATAGTAACCCGGTTATTTGATACAATGTCAGGTCTCTGTCTCTCCTACCAACAGCCTGTTCTGCTACACTTGCCAGTGTTTCGTTTTGTCTTTCCGTGCACTCTTCTTCACTTCTTTGTCCAGTGTTTTATACATTGCGCTCAGTTCCTCTTGTCGTTGAGCATCCTTGCACTGGTTTATCTTCTGCTTCACCACCCTCCTCTCCCTGCTCTATCAGCTTCCAGGTATCCGTCGAGATCCATTCCTTGTCTTCTTTCTTCTTCCTTCCTAATATTGTTGTGCAGGTTTCTTTCCACATAGCTTTCAAAGACTTCTAGTGTTCTTCCACATAGGTTTCTTCAGGGATGTTCCTCGATATCTCCCATTTTGTCTTGATGGCTGACTGGTGTGAAGATGTCCTTTGTAGTTTCATCCTTCAGTTTCTGATTGTTGTACTTGAATTGAGGTCTATCACCAGCTTCCTTGAAGGCTTTTAACTTGATTTGGAAGGTTCCTTGCACTAGATAGTGGTCTCAACCTACATCTGCTCCTCTTCTTGACCTTGTGTTCAGTAGACTGCGTCTCCATTTCTTGAGATTTAGATGAAGTCGATCTGATTTTTAGTGTGTCCATCTGGTGAAATCCATGTCGCTTTGTGGATCTCCTTGTGCCTGAACACACTGCCTGCAATCACCAAATCGTTGAATGCACAGAATTCTGCAAACAATTCTCCATTCTCATTCATTTCACCTAACGCCTCTCGACCTATGGTTAATTCTCTTCCTGTGTTGTCCCCTCCCAGTTTGGCTGGCATTCATGTCGCCCATTAGAATTTTGATATCGCCAACTGACGTCTTGTCCAGTGTTGATTGCAGTCGTTTGTAGAATTCCTCCTTTTTCTCTTGTTCTGCATTATTTGTAGGTGCATAGCATTGTATGATTGTGACCTTCCTTCCTTTTGAGTTGAACCTTGCTGTCATGATCCTGGAGGAGATTGGTTCCCACTGCATGAGAGCCTTCGATGCTCTTGAGGACATCATGATAGCCACTCCGAGACTCAGTGTGCTCGTGGTTGTCGTCTGGGTGACCGGAGTAGATTATTGATTCTCCAGTTGACAGTTTGGAGAGTCCCTTCCCATTCCATCTGCTTTCGCAAATTCCTAGCACTTCAATGTGATACCTGTTCATATCGTTTGTAATCTGGGCTGCCTTGCTGGGTTCAAACATCGTGTGGACATTCCATGTCCACACGTTTACTTTCGCTTTCATCTAGGGAGAGAAGACACATCGGCCAATTGGCTTCCCGAAGGCTTTCACCAACTGGCGTCATTTCGCCTCTCCGATTCCAGCGAGGAATAATTTTGTTATTATTTTTTATATATCGTTTGTGCTTTGAAGTTTGTTTAGCGGTTAGATTTGTTTTACGGGGTAGGGTTGCTAGCCCTATGCCCAACCTTCCCTCTTTACCCGGGCTTAGGACCGGCTAGTAACTAGTGAACTAGTTAACCAGGCGAGGTTAGAGTCACAAATAAACGCATCAAATTCTTGTTGTTTGAAATGGAATAGATTTTCTAATTTCTTAAATATATGTCTTTTTTTTCAAAGGGTGTTTTCACTGTGGCTTGGACTCGATCTAATCTGCTTAGAGCAGATGGTGCCGCTGAATCGGACTGTTTATTACCTGTATTAGCCCCACCAGCGTTCTGCTCTTGGCTGACTAACTTTAGTAAACTTTTCAATTATGATCCTATTATCGATCTTTACACGCTGACCAGTGTTTATAATGCACCGGCACCGAAATCTCTGCCTTCGTGGACTTTGAATACAGATAACCCTCGGACAAAAGAGTGGTCAAAGCTGATGAAACAACTTAATGTTCATGTGAGTAGCTTTTTTCTAAGTATAAATTTACTTCTTCCAGTGTTTTTAAGTAGTTCTATTTCAGTTTATTGTTTCAATTAAAGAGAAGTCAGTGAGATTCAAACTTTATTTTTTTTCTAGAATGTAAATACTTCTCTTTTAATTAATCCTTACTTTCATAAAGTTTGTATAGGAAATAATTGTAACATTCACTTATTTCTAAAAGAGTTTTATATTTCACTTATATATGCCACATATGAAGCTGGTTTAAGTATTTGTTTCTCTAGGATCTATGTATTTTTATTAGTTGTAGTATAGTGGGTGTACCTTATGCATTTTTATACGAATTAGATTTGAATAATCACGTATCATGTACACAGAATGTTGGCTCTACACAACAATTTCTACCATTGCGTACATGCTCAAAGTAATCAACATTTACTAACTTCCAAAGTACTACTGCACCAACTTTTGTCGGTCGTATTTACTTAATTTGCATTATGTAAGTTCTTATCTTGTTTCCTGTGGATTGTACTTATTGTTCATCGAAATTTTCGATGATCAGTATTACGTTCAAGATAGTTTTTCTTACTCTAGTTCAGAAACAGAAATGAATCGAGCCTTCATATAGATGTAAAGTAAACCAATCAGCTGTTATGCTTAAGTGATAGAGACTGTTTAATCAAATAAAGTACATCGTCAGTAAGACGTCGATGTCTCCACTTGAATGTAAGGCAATGTTAAGGAAATACCCTTAAGCTGTTGACGCGATGGTTTTTAAACTACTCTTAATTGACGTGAGTAGATATCTCGTAGATCAGGATCTGTTGCCTACATTGTAGCCCAATCTACTTTATTTTCAACGATGAGTAAGGCCTTATGTGGAATAAGACAATAGCATCGCGATGTTGTACACCTTTGCAACATTCATACATAAGATTGAACTTCTTTCTAACATGCAGGTTGACTCAAAGCGTCAAGAAAATTACGTAGCCATTGTAAGGCTTTTTGATAAGTCTTGACTTTGGAGAGGTGTTGTCAAATTTATGAAATCCTTGACGAATTGGTAGTAGTATGAAACCAACCAGACTAGTGAAACTGGGAACTTAAGCTGTCGATTTAGAAGTGAACCATGCTGAATGGATTGTACTTTCCTTCTGTTGGTCCTCATGCCTTGTTGTGTGAAGTAGAACTTACTAGGTTTTAGTTTCGAAATATTGTTACAGATCCACTGAAAAACACCGCACACACTTATGTGCACACTTATGTCATTTAAATAAATCAAGCATCGTTTAGGAACTGTCTCATTCGTCATTGCAATATGAAAAGAGCATTCGTTAACCCAAAAGGCATAGTTTGCGATTAGTACATTCCATTGGGCAAAGTGAAGGCTCACTTAGATCGATCTCGTGGTTCTGTCTTTGTCAATATTACATTCTGAATCAAAGGTCAAAAACCATTCAACGTTGTCTAGTGCGTCTAGTGTCGCATTGATCCGAGGCAATGGAGAAAAGTTTCGTTGGATTATAGGGTTTAGGTGACGGTAGTCTACACACAACCGGAGGGATCCATTTTTCTTTTTGACCAACACGATCAGAGGTCCCCATGAAGATTTTGGCCACTTGATAACATCCTTCCGAAGCATTTTTTTTAGATCATCATATCCTACTTTGGCTGATGGTGAATAGACACTCCGTTTTAGGAAAGCTTAAATGATGTGTGGTCTCCTGTATTAACTTCATGCTGAATGAGATTAGTAAAACCAAGGGTATGGCCATTATTAAATTTCTCTGTAAGGGCCTGTATTAAGGTGAAAACATTGATTTCCTCCTTGCTGTCTAACTAAATTTGCATGTACCCGCGACCCCATTTTCATAGGCAACTCAATTTTTAGTGCGTTTAACTCCCGACTGTTTATTGGGAAAGGGCTTATAGACCTAAGCATGAGACTTCCTAGCAAAGGATCACGTGTTAAAGACCCGCTCCACCTACGTTGACATAAGCAATTGGGTGTTATCATAAGCCTTTATGCAATAGGTGTGGCTCTTAACCTAGTACAAGTATATGGATTAGGTTGAATTGTAAAATATTGCTGAAGTTCTCCAGTAATTGCAGTGTTGAACATCTTACAGTCACATGGGATTGCACAACTCTTGTGGAACTTCATTGACACTATATCTATGTTTTAATGCAACTGGATAATCACGCACCGGTTCATGTTGTTAAGTATTATCTATGTAAATGATATTCTTTTTTCCTTGCTTTCCAAAATATCGACAACAGGTTCATAACGCATGCTATAGTCATAAATAAGTTTAGTTTCTCCGGTGATATCGTTAACCAGTACCAAATAAATCTTTTAGTATTTTCCAGTTTTCGATGTGGCTTGATTTATCAAATTATTTATAAAATAGTTTATTCTATTAGAAACAAGAATCCTCACTGGATTCGTGAATACTTGTGTAGATGGGTACAGACTAATATCCATATCTTTGTTGTTAAGCGTAATAAATATCTTTTTTGTTAATAGGTTAGACCCGTCAAGGTCCCACATACACGTTCATCATGGGCGTACATTATCGACAGTCCTAGCCTTTCAACAGGTTCAGACAATGTAGAAATTGGTGAAAACGATCCACAAGAACGAAAATGGTCGATTGTTTATTCTGGGGATACACCTTCATGTCCTGAACTTGTGAAAGCTGGGAAAAATTGCGATTTACTAATACATGAAGCTACTTTGGTTGACGAACACACAGATTTAGCGATTCGAGGAAATCACAGGTAAGTATCATTATCATCAGATGGATAAGCGCGGATGCAGTCCGGAAGATTCTGTTATTTTCATTTAACTTACTTTGTCGGTAGAACGATTTATCACATCATACTTGCGTTATCCTTTGAATAGCTTTTATGAAATAATGAAAGAAGCATAAAGCTTCAAGCCAATATGAGTTATGTCTTCCAGATACTTCATCCACAGCACACCGATAATCAATAAACACAAACTGACAGTTAACGAATTCAAACTTTGTTATGAACCACATTCTGTACGTCAAATTTTCGATATATCTCTAATGACTAGCTTTTAGGATCCCTTGGTGCATGTTTAGGAATTTTTTTCATCCACTTAACTAGTGCTTACAGTTGAAGCTTGCAAACTGTGTATCACAGTATCATAATCATTCTTCACCTCCCTAGACTCAACATTTCTGCCTATATTCGATGGTGTAGGACATATGTTTTCATATTAGTTTCATCAGCCGTTTCTACATGATCATCTAATGTCATCATCATCGCAACCCCAGTTTCCATGAAAGAAGATGAATCCTCCTGCGGCACCCACAAAAGAATCATTCTGACAGTGGTTAAGACCCTAGGTCCCGTAATCGTTAAATGTTTGAGGGAAGCTAGGGAAAAAAAACAGGTAGGTTTCAAGCCCAGTTTTGCGTCCATTGATCATACATTCACCCTATACCCTATATACTAGCTGCATTTCTTAACCTACGTGAAGCGTTTGACTTTGTCGATCGAGAGGTCTTATGGTAGTGTTTCTTACTGAAGTCGGTGTACAACTTCACCACTATGAAAAGCTCTGTATTTGAACACCTGTGGTTATGTTGGAACCTATGATAGATCGGATGAAAAGTGTGAAGAGTAGTGTCCATCCAGGATGTTAATCTTATCTTTCATATTTGATGCCGCTATAGGCATGCCACTGAATGTCTCCTTTACCCCTTTGTCCGACGTTATAGGAAATAACCTTAGAGCAGGGAACTCTTCATAGACCTCACCTATGCAGATGACATTGTCCCGTTGGGTGAAGACGCTGACACAATGCAATCTTCTGGAAACCTCGATTGGTTTCTCACGTTGACCACTTCACTTACCTGGGAAGTCGATTCAATCCTGGTGGATCATTAAACGATAAAATCTTTGCACAGGTATTAAAGGCTCAATCGGTCTTTGTCAACCTATATCATTTGTAGCGCTATCGTGATATCCAGCTGTCCATTAAGGGATGAGTGGACCGTGCCAAAGTTCTCTCACTTCTACTATACAGTTGTAAAACATGGTCATCAAGGGTAGAGGAAAAGATGGGACTTCAGATGTTCGTTCACCATTGCCTTTGTATCATAGGTTATCTGTCGAAGAACCTTCATGTCTGTAATGCTAAAGTCAGGTGTGCAGTTTTGAGGAGGGATGGTAGGTCAGTTGATGAGGTTGTAAACCTTCATCGACTGTAATGTTTGGGACATATGTTTTAGATACGTAGTCACCTACCCAGTCATGCAATGCTATCTCAAGTAGGTTTAGAGTGGGGAAAGATAAGAGGCTACCAGACCAAAACATGGAATGAGTCTGTGAACTCTCACCGCCACAGTAGATCGTGGAGGGAAATGTACACTTCTTGTTTCAAGTCCACGTGAAAACAGGAACCAATGGTTCGGGACCTTGGGTAACATGGTTCAGAATCGATCCCAATGGCACAGATGTACCCACACATTTTCTTCACCTTATTCTCCATACAAAATCTCGTTATCTTTTCATCCCTTCTTGTTCTCTTTTGATTGTTGTCTACCACTAACTGATTGTCTTCATGGGAATGCCATGTCTATCGGTCGCTCTATGGTTGCAAATATGAATGGTTTAGAAGTTGTGTGCTTCAGTACTCGGATATTATTTAAGCTTTAGTAGGCAATTTTGGATATGCTGATGAGTTATCTAGCCATTTTAATTTTTAAAAAAATGCTCATTTCAGAACATATCAGCCCTATCCAATTCATTGTTGTGCCTCTGTTCAACATCTGGTATCACTTTTCTGTGCAGAAGAAATATAGATATAAGTTTTGAGAGTTACATTGCATTTTAAGGATTCTTGCATGCCATCTCGTCGGTAATTATAATTAAATTGTCAGAAGAATCAGTGAAACTAGTTTTCTATCAAAACTTGACACCCTCAACCTCTCTTGACTATTCAACTTTTAATTTTCACTGTTTTTATTGTTATACAAGTACAACAAGTGGAGCTATTCAAGCTGGACGCAATATGAATGCTTCATTCATCTTGCTGAACCACTTTAGCCAGCGTTATGGACGTCTGCCGCCAATTGATGAGTTTAATCCAATGTGGCTGCAACTTTTGATTTCATGCGCGTAAGTTTTATTTTTAATAATCTTCTTGCGACATTCTGCTTACTTTACAAAACAAGAATAAACTGTTCAAGTGATGCATGTTTCTAGTTATAATTTTTATTTGTGTAAGTCACAGTGTGTTTGAAATGAAATAATCCCAATGTTTCGCATGGAAGTTTGATAAGGGCTTCTTCAGGAAAATAAAAATAGGTTTATTCCAGGTAACATGTGTAAATACATTATGGAATTTTCAACGTGTAATATCTCAACAAATACGTTCCCTGTACTATATTTTAAAAAGTAATAAGTATTACGTTGATAATAACGGTATTAAAGGTACAAATGTGAAACGGCTAACTGGTGTTATATTTGCATCTGGTCTAGACTTGGGGATGAATGCAAATGCTAGTGTAATTGTAGGGGGGGGAGGGGGGTTAAGTTCAATCAGTGCAAAAACTTGCATTTCGATCTAGACGTCCTAGGCATAGTACTGTGCTGTATTTTTGAGCATTTATATTTCCATTTTGCTCCAAGTTTTTTTTCTTTTTTAGCTTAAAAAACAACAGTTTGTTAACATTTTAAGTAGGTGCGAGAGTGTATGATATGTTTAGAAGATTAAAACAATCAGTATAGAAAGAATTTCATGAAATAAGTTCCGTGGAAAAATTTCTTCGTAGCTGTATCTTTTTGAACCGTTTTCCTGTTTGTTTCCACATAGTGATTTCATGCTGTTATTTTGACACAACACGACACAAGGCAAAACATTTCTTCTGAATGAAACCATATCATATCTTTCATGTTTGTTACTGTTGACTTCTCGCATTCACTCGCTTACGTCTTAACAATAACTTTAAAAAAAAAAATTAAAATCCACCTTTGTTCACTTTTTACTCATAGGTAAAATTTCGTGATTACCACGCCTATCGCACTATATTCCGTATTATCGATATGCATTTGCTAAACACTGGGCCAATACTAAGGCTAAAACCGATTCTTACACATTCGAAAACTTCGGGAAGCCGATGAATTGCTTGAAAATGAGTCTACTACTAGTCCAGTCAACGATGAATTAGTGCTGAGTTTGCGAAAGTGGCGAAAATAAATGTTGTCGCTGTCAATTTGAATGAGAACAAAATTAGCATCTATTTTAGTTCCCCTTTGGAATAAAAAAAATCACTGTTGCAAGCGAAATCATTTAGCTTTTATAAAATATTGTATCATCACCAAACTAGCTTGTTATTACTAATAAAATAAACAAACCACTTTTAAGATAATGTTTTATTCTTATAACTTCTAAATACATCATTTTTGTGAAATAATCTGTCATTAATAATAAACGGTATGTATTTCAGACACGATTTTGTTAACTAATTTACAATGGTTTCCTTCTTTAGATAATCTCTTTTAGTATTGTTAATCTGTAGTATTTGTACTGAACGATCATTGTAGTGCATAGCGTGGAAAATAGTCTGAGAAAAAGGTGAAAGTTGTCACTATTAGTCTGGCAAGCTTGAGGAGTAGTACAAGTGAAATGAGCATCGCATTAATGTCAAACAGTTGTTATTATATCCCATCGGATGGTGGTAAACATCAATTCGTGTTGTATCATCTTGTTTTTCTTAGGAATACTTTTGAAAAATTTTGAAATAAACGATGTTTAATCAATTCTTCAGGAGTCGATATGCTGTCTTAAAAGTCTAATTTATTCATATGTTTGTGTGAGAACAAATAAACAACAATTCATGGGAATTAAAGCTTGATAGATACTCAATGAAATAAATAGTGTAACCCTGTTTGACTTTGCGGAGATTAGTCAACTACCCACAAATTACCTAAACAATTTGGAGTTCTTAAACGACAATGTTATTTTCGGAGAAGACATTTTCAAAACATGAAGTCTTTTTCATGCTTAACAAATAATTGAGTCTTTCGCATATGATTGACACCCTGCAAGAGATATGAGTATTCTTTAAGACAGTTTCAGGATAAATAGTAATTCAATGGGATGATGTGATCATCATTCTACTTACTTGAGTTGTGTCAGTCCTAATGGTGTAATTGGTAACGAGATCTTTGTTCGGATACGAATCGCTCCTTTGATATTTGCAAATTAAAGTCATTTCTGGCACCGTCAAGGCATTCAACTACATCTGTTCTGTTCCGTTGCGTAGATTTTAAAAGTAGGAGACATCGAGGGATAATAGGTAATCAACTGAAAGTGCGTAAATAGCTCTGCTTATGTGTGCTTGAACTAAAGAGTGAACAATGTTGGTGTTATGCGTATAGTATCGAGGAAGCAAGCTATTCGATAAGACTGTAAACCTGTACCGACTGTGGTGATTTAACGCATCTCAGGCCACTACCTCCCTTGTTGTCAAGTGTTATAACAGAAAGAAAGGTTAGTTGAAACGAAGTCATGGATGACGAGATTAAGACATAGCAGCAGTCTATGAAGTCCTTGTTTATTGGTCAACCGTGTAGAGAGGTATATCTAGTCTAGTTAGTGTTCTCACGATGTCAGGGATTAGACTTGGTTATTTATATGGCTTAACATCGATCACAATGGTTCAGGTGTATTCACTCACTGTCATCGAAATTTGTACTCTTTTATTGACCTTCACTTATTTATTCTCCGCAAACCCATTTGTCTGCGTCAATGTCGTTCGTCTTCCCCTCTTTTCTCTACATGCTGCTGTAAATTGTGGCGAATTGAATTGATCACTTTCGTGGCAGGTTCAACGTTTTCGCATTGAATCTCTTAGAGAAAAACATTCTTGGGAAGTTCATCCATCAGACCTGTATTCAAATACGCCAGAGTGGCACCATTCATTCACACTTTTTCATGTTTAATTCCTTTATCAGGGTTCGGAAAGTCCGCTAATCTTTCATAAACCAATCCTCTCAATGTTCCTTATGTTTGATAACTACAAGTAAAGCATGTGGAAACGCTTTATATTTTTTAACCAGAAAGAGACTGCTAACTTGAGTATCGCTGTATAATGTATCGGCTGATCTTATACAAACTTGTTTTGAAAGCTGGTTTCTTTATGCGGTAAACTTGAATAGAAATGAGTGGAACCTGGGTCATCTTAAAACTCTGAGTGTTTTCCTTGACTTTTTAGATATTTCTCTTATTATCCGTGTATAGATAGATCAGTCTGTTCAATAAGGTAGCCTGATTAATAGTCACTAATTAGCTAACTATACGGGGGTATGAAAACTGTGAGGTGTTTCCCATGGATGATCAGCAGTACCATGTTGGTTTGTCCCTCCCTAAAGGAATGGGGAGAGTTTAGAAAAAGTCGATCCCTAAGACAGCAGACATTCTACCCTGTGGTCAACTACTACCGATGGCATAGTTTTGTAGCTAGATTAAAGTTAATCAAAGCTAAACTTCAAACTTTAAAAAAATGCCGTGTGATTGGTTTCAAGCAGATCTTCCTTGGGCTTTACGCATTGCTGTTACGAATCGTATTTCTTTTTTAGATGCTTCAAGTAGAGGTAGCCTTCTGCGGCGTGGACAGCCAGGTTGGGTAGACCGTGCTGACATTTCCGTTAGTTCTCAAGTTCTAACAACCTTCCACATCCTTTGTCTTTAATCGTTCTTCACCTTCTGTTAAGAGTGCTACATCATCTTTAATTTCTCCCAACTCCCTCTGCAGCTCACTATCTGTTCGAGTTCATGGAACAGCATCCCAGGTCTCCTGAAAGCATGCTGCAAACTACATGTTGGAGTTTTCAATGTCAGAACTCTTTGTCCAATCGAGAAATAAGGTTCCTAAGCCATATGGAGAGAAGGAATCACTACTTCAGATAGAGTGGTTAGTTCTCATGGTTTTGCAGGCGTACTAATAGCACGAGGCGCTGAGACAGAAGCTGCAATGCCCAACTGATGGTCGCCAGTTCTATTGAAAGGTGCAGTTACGAATAAAAGGTAATGAAACTCGGCGTTGCCTTTTTGTAATCTGTGCTTACTCAAATGAAGTGAAAGATAACTAGGGAAAACTGTCTCTGACGTTTACTAACCTTCGGTTGTAGGTTACTAACTGTCTTTGTCGCTGTTTCTACAGCAGAGCAGAGTGAATATCACCCGACCGATAGCTGCTACCTTGACGTGGTGGTCGGGCTTGCATATCACAATGACCCAACGAGCTATGCTGGTGGAACGCTTGTTCCCTCGAGGTCCTACCATACCAGAAAGGTCTGTTGGGTAGTGGTTAGACGAAAAGCAGTTACCGTCATAGTGTAAATTGCTATACTATGATGGGGGTCTGAGGGCGAAGTCGTACTGCTGCTAGCTGGATGGGGTGTGACAGCAGTAAGGTGTTTCCCTTGGATGACCAGCAGTGCCAAGCTGATGCTGCCTTCTCAGTGGAAGGGGGGTTAGAAAAGGTCGGCCCCAAAAATAACACACTCCACCACGCCCCACGGTCTGCCGGGCCGGCGGTGTTGGTTCACTTGTCGTTTCCTTTCGCTCATCCGGCCCCAAAAATACAAAAATTCAAAATAATCATACTCAAAAGGCTGGGTGTGACAGGCCTCAAGCAGATGTCCGATGGGCTCTGCGGTCACACAAATCTCTTTCAGGTACCTTAAGAAGAAATAGCCTTCCACGGTGTGGGCAGCCGGGAAGTGTCAACCGCCCTCACAACTCTGTCAGCACCCAAGTTTCTTCTGACTGCTATCCTCCTCCTCCATCATTACCTTCTAATCTTCCTTCACGTCTCTTAATTAATGATGCTGCATCATCTTCAATTTCTCCTACCTCTGCAGCCTTCGACAACGATCTGAGTCCACAGAACAGCATCCCTGGTCTCCTTAAACCACGCTCCAAATTACATATTGGAGCCTTCAATGTCCGCACCCTCCGTCAAATTGGCCAACAGGCTTCGTTGGCAAAGACTCTAGCAACTCGAGGCATGGATGTGTGCTGTGTTTGTGAGACACGCATACAGGACCCAAGTGTGGTTATTCACCTGACCTCTCCTGACCAATCTGGTGAATCTGCAAAATTCACCCTTCGAGTTTCTGGAGATTCGATAGCTAGCTCTCGTGGTCTTGCAGGTGTAGGTATAGCATTAAGCACCAGGGCAGAAAACTCACTACTAGACTGGATCCCAGTTGATAGTCGCCTCTGCGCTATGAGGCTGAACGGCACAGTGAGAACTAAAAGGAATAGTGAGACTCGCCGTTGTCTCTTTGTAATCTCTGCTTACGCACCCACTGACTGTAGTTCGGATGAAGTGAAGGACGAGTTCTACCATAAACTGTCTAACCTCCTCTCGAAAGCCAAACGTTCGGACGTAGTGGTTGTTGCAGGTGACCTCAACGCACAGGTGGGTAGACTGAGTGAGGCAGAAAGGCACTTAGGTGGCACTTTCGGAATCCCAGCTGAACGTACAGATAACGGTGATCGCCTATTACAACTATGCTCAGATAACCGCCTATTTTTAGCCAGCACAAATTTCAGACATAAAGAAAGGCACTGTCTGACCTGGCGTCCACCGAGCTCGACTCAGCGATGGACACAGATAGACCACATTGCTATTAGTCATCGCTGGAGAGGATCGGTGGAAGACTGCCGCTCCTTCTGGAGTACGTGTTTGGACAGCGATCATGCGTTGGTCCGAGCACGTATATGCCTGCGTCTCAATGGACGTAGAAAAAATTTGGCAACAAAACCACTACGAGTTCTGCTGGACAACGAAAACACCAAAGCCGTGTTCAGTGAGAAGTTGGCTAGGCAGTTATCGGAACAAAAGACTGTCACTCATCCAGAAGAAGCTTGGTGCCATCTTCAGTCTACTGTAAAAGCAGCACTGGAGACTGTAGCCGACTCCAAGATAATGGCTAAAAAGAGCCAGTGGATATCAGCAGCTTCTTCCAAACTAATGGATGCACGTGAATGCATCCCTGCAGGCTCTGAGTACAATGAAGAGCGAGCGCAACTTAAAAATAAACTGACGAAAAGTCTGCGCAACGATCGTGAACAGTGGTGGGCAGCAAAGGCTAAAGAGATGGAAAAGGCAGCGGCGATCGGTAACAGTAGACAGTTATTTAGACTTATTAAGGAGACTGGGGGGAAATGGTCAACAACAGTTAGTGAGGTTATAGCGGAGAAGGACGGATCGGCGATTCACTCGCAGGGAAGGCGACTGGGACGATGGGCAGAACACTTTGAGGAACAGTTTAACTGGCCTCCAGCCACCATTGCGCTGCCCGCTATCCAGTCGGACCCTGAATGGGACATAGAGACAGGTCCCCCAACACTAGAAGAAGTTGAGAAAGCGGTAGGTAGCCTGAAACGGGGAAGGGCAGCAGGACCAGACGGACTACCTGCTGAGGTATACAAGAATGGTGGTAGAGTTCTCTTAGTCAGGCTAACGGAAGTGTTAGCCAGTATATGGGAATCAAATACGATCCCCTCCGACTGGTCTAAGTCACTGATCATCCCAGTCTTCAAGAAAGGCGAGAAGTCCTCTTGTGATAACCACAGAGGAATCAGCCTGACAAACATAGTGTCTAAGATCCTAAGTTCTATAATTCTCCGACGCCTGAGTGGAGCTCGGGAACAGCAAGCC